ACGGAAGGACAAGGCGTGGCATAGCCACTCTCCTAATATCCTCCTCTATAATGAGACTAAGCTCTACGGGAATATTATCAAAGATCTCCAAATGAGAGTTTTGAAAAATTTCGCGGTTGGCCAACCAATCCATCGCTCGATTGCCTTCTCTAAAAATATGTGCCACTAATATCATGGGAAAGATTTTAATGTTTGGTTGTACACCCTCATACTTTATTTTACTCATAAATTTAAGCGATTAACATTTCTTAAATTAATGGTGAAAGTGCGTGATGTCAATTTGGGAAAAGGTGCTAGCTTTAGGCCTTGAAAATCTACTTCTCTCTTTATTATTACTGTTTCGGGGTTTTCTGAAGTCCTGTGGGAGAGTTACAATTCCGAGACTGGAACCGGACGCCTGTACCTGCAAAATAACGGAGACTCCTGTGAGCTCCGCCTCCAACGGTCAAGTTAGTACCTGATTAAGGAGTAATTAATGCGGAAATTAAAGTGATTAGGTCTCTCTAGGTGAGAGTGATTAACGTAGGTAATCTGCTTTGTTAGCGAGATCAGCCGGTTATTACTGTGTGTAATTAATGTGTTTTTACCGTAATGTTTCTGTAATCTTTTTTGTGATCCCCCTTAATGAGGATTAAGGGAGGTATTTATAACCTTGGGAAACGTGCCCATCCTAGGTTTAGGTAAACCTAGGGCCGATTGGGCTTCCCTCGGAAATTGGGCCTGGGTGGCCGGTTTCTCCATTAGGCATGGAGTATGCCATATGTCGTGACATAACAGGTCCAAGGTGGACGAATAAGCGCGTGCCACGTGGGAAGCCCTGGCTGTTCCAACTGGGGGACACTTGGCAGGACCTGATTAGTCCACGTGGCGCATTCCGATTGGTGGGAGCAAAATCCCCTAATCAATTACTGTATGTATCTCTATTACTCTTACATTGATTATGCTTGTTATTTAAATAATATTCTTTCTTCTTTGGATTGGATTGTGTAAATTTAGATTTTTATCTTTGTTAATCCTTTATGTTTAGACGATTGAAAACCCTTTTCTTTCCAAAACTAATTAATTGACCCCCAAATGTTCATTTTTTTTTAAATTTCTTCTTTAAATTATTTTGGTGCGTATCTATTTTGATCATTTGTTAGTGTTACTCAATCACTTTTGAAGTGATAAATTTTCCGTTATGCAATGATGAAATATGATAGCCCTTAATTAATAAATCATTTTGTTTCTACAAATTTTGTTCCATTTACTATGTTGTTAGGTGATAAAGTTTTCGTTATGCAATGATGAACTATGATAGCCCTTAATTAATAAATCATAAATTTCAATGCATAGGGAACTTGTATTAATCATTTTTATACGAGCTCAATGTATTATCGTACTAAATTGAAGAAGTACGTTGAAACAAAGGATTGTTGGTCTCAAAAGCATCTTGTTTCAATTGCTACACATGACATTCCTAAGGATCAACAGGGTCGATCTTTTCAAATAATACAACAAATATTTGACAAAACTAATGAGCGAGGCCAATGGCGAATCTATTATTTTTTTATAAGTGAGTTCAAATAACACAACAAATTATATTAAAATTATTCATAAATTAACAAATTACGTGATGAAACTACCTATATATTATATTGCACATCATTGACACATATAAAATTATTTGTATTGATACGGAGTAGATGTTAGATTACTCATAATTTTTAAATTATCTTTCTCATATTAAATAATTCAATGTTAAATAAATCATCTTTTAAATATTTTAACAATTTTTTTTTAAATAATAAGTGGGACAATTGACCCCATAACTTTGACCTTAGATCCGCCCCTAAGTGAGGCATTATTTTGAAGGGAGATAAAGGAGTTGTGAAGGCGAAAAAAGCAAGTTTTATTAGTCGTCTCGATGAGTTTGACATAAGTGAAGTTGACAGGAAATTGGTCACTGAGTTCCGGAAAATGACCCTTTTGTCATCAGGTTTGTCATGCATGATCATTTTTATCAAACAAGTCGTCAAGAGAGTCGTGACTTTGTTTATGTGTCAAGTCCAATAGGATTTGAAGACAGGGATAAGAGGGCTCCATCTTACTGTGTTGTCGTAATTAAGCATGGGGTACGGGCAGGTGATGGGTTGTCATTTTGGGAGTATCAAAACTCTTGTGGACCTTCATTTCGCTAAGATTTCGCTCTTCCGGAAGAGAAAAACTTAGTTCTTGGTTAGGTTGCGATGGATTCCATTGTGGTTGCTATTATTCCACATGATTGCCGTGTGAACAGTGGAGAAGGTGAATCTAATAGCGTTCTCAGCAGCCTAAGAGTTGAAGAGACTAGAAACTGATTACTACTTTAGTGGTATGTTCTATTATGGGAATGCGTAGTGGATATGTTAAGCTAGTATGTTTTGATCTTTTGTTTGCAAAACCAAGTATTTCTCAACCGTAGAACTTTGTCGTAAGCTTTCAAAATATCTTATAATGTTGTGCTCCTTACAAATCTTCTCAGTGATTGCAATTGTGCATGCAAAGTAATTTAAATTAGCACGACATGAAAGCCTTTTGTTCCAGCACATGAGGATAGAGGTAAACACATCACATATTATAGCAAGTAGAAGAATATTGCAAATTTAAAGTTTTCATGCAGCAAAACCTCTGTAATTCAGTGTCCCAAATCCCATCGCCAGGAATTGCGATGCCAGAAGAGTGAAGCGGAGTTGGAGAAGGATAGATTTGTTTTGTGTTTGAGATCACAGGTGAAGCAACGACCCTTTCATGATTAGATTCTGGAGCTTTTTGTGCTCCAAGATTCGGGTTTTGCATTGCTTCTTGAGCCAGGTTGATCAGTGTTTAAAGATTACAAGAAAAAATGTTTTATTGGCTTTGAAAGATTTTACTTACTCTTTTCACTGTCTAAAGATTAATTAGGTCCTACCTACCCCCAGCAGGTATTCTGGAACTCAGTATGGGTATTATCTCTGCTCATGTAAAAAAAAAAATAAAAAAAAAGGTTATTTGCAAGACATGTAGGGAAAAAATTGTTAAGAAAACCGGGATGTTGAATGGACAACTTGATATGGAAGTTGAGACTTTATTTTTTAGAGGAATTCACATATTTCCCATTAGCTTCAAAGTAGAAATGTAGGTTCATTTGCCTAGTGTATACTTGTAGATCGATTTTCATAACTTTTGGTGTTCGTTTCTCTTACCCTACATTTACATACAGCTAGCTTAGTAAAACTAATGAATCCCAATGTTCAAAAATTTGTACTCGTATTTATTTTCTATCAGTATTAGCTTTCAAACACATTGTAACCGTTTACGTTGATATTCATGAAATGGTACTCAAGTGAGATAAACTGTTTTACTGAGTAATACTGAACTGGTCCCAACTAATAATATTGTCTAAAGGGTAACATTATTAAGGGATAAACTGTTTAATTCATCATTAATATATACAAGGTGACATTATCGAGCAAAATCTTGTTGCTTAACTCATCATAATGTCTAGAATTCAAATATGCAAAATTGCAACCTACATAATTTTTACAGCAATAATAAAAATAAAAATATTGGTGTTCAAATACAATCTTGATGATCTTAAAGAAGCCTTTTAATTGATACTGCATATTTTCCATGAACCCGTTAAGTTATACCTTTGACACCATTGCGCACAACATCTCAACTTAAATCGCAATTTCACTTATCAGTTTCTCAACTTAGATACACGATACACTTAAGCAATTGTAGATGTGCAAGCAATTGATTAAAAAAAAAGGGTAGATCATGATTTGATAGAGACTGCCTATTCAAGAAAGCAAATCATGTTTGTTACTATGTCAGAGTAACGAACATTTAAGACAAGTTTAAAATTTAAACACAAAAAAAAGGAACTCAGAGGTAGCCAGCCACCACCTCCTCCCTGCCGTCAAGCCCCCTGCCTACCCCAAAACCCTAGCCACCACCACCCCCTGCCGCCGGGGCTAGCACCGAAAGGCGCGCCGGCCGCCGACGACCCCTCCCCTATCCCGTCGCAACCCCCTAACCCGCGAAATGTCCATCCTTTCCTGCCATCACCGCCCAGCCGCATACACCAACCACAACCTTTGCCACCCACCCAATCGCCATCAACACTGTTGCCCACACCCACAACACAACAAGCAACAACCAGTAACAACCAAAATCGCGACGGTGCTTGCTCCGGTGCTGTCCCCTCCCCTGTACCCCTAAACCACCAAAATCCCCATAACCTCCACCACGCACTAAACCTCCGTTGCAAAAATTAACCTCCTTTGATCTTTGCAATTAACCCTAACAATTTCCCCCAAATTTTGCAGCAATTTCTAGATTAATCTTTGTAGAATCATCAATAGAATCTTTAACAGAGCTTTGCGACTTGATTGCGAAAAATCCAGATCAAAATAAGGAGAAACTTGGTTGGATTTGTCGTCGTTTTTTGCGGGGCTGCCACAAGGTGGTTTCGCGTGTTAGAGGATCGCGACGAGATAGGGGAGGGGTCGCTGGCGGCCGGCGCGCCTTCTGATGCTAGCCCCGGCGGCAAGGGGTGGTGGCGGCTAGGGTTTTGGGGGTGGGCAGGGCGCAGGGGGCTCGACGGCAGGGAGGAGGTGGTGGCTGGCCACCTCTGAGTTCTTTTTTTTTTTTATTATTATAATTTTTTTTTTTAAAAAAACGGATCAATCACAAAGTGACACGTGAGATTATTAATTTAGACAACTCCGTGAGATTAAGTCGAATTTTCTCCTCAAAAGGTCGAACCCTATATTACTCCTCCAGTCCTCCGGTCACTCAAATTCAAAATTAAACGTTCTTTCTCTATACTCTTGCTTTCTTCCAGTCTACAGATTTTTTCTCTGCTTTTAAGGTAAATTCTCTTCTCCAAAACACAAAGATCTACTAACACTAATATCAAATTATCTTCAAAATTTGTTGTATGATAATTTGAATTGTGATTGTTAATTTCTACTTTCTCTAATTGTGAATCGCAGATGATTGATGATCAAGATCTAGGGTTTATTGCCAATTTTCTTGGCGTTTTCATCTTTGTTCTGGTAATTGCTTACCATTTTGTGATGGCTGATCCCAAATATGAAGCAATTTAAGGATGTTTCTTCCCCAATTTACAATGTCAGTTAATTTCAGTAGTATATCATCTAGGTAATAGTATTATTTTTGTAATTCTGTGGATTTTTTGACAGTGGATCACCTTAATCTATGTATTTGAAGTATTCAAAGTGATCCTCGAATTGATTTTGAGCTGAATTTCATATGATTAAGAGATGATTGCATGACAATTTGTGATTTTAATAATTGAGCCTTTTTTGTTTTTGTGAATTTTTAGTTTTCTGTGTGTGTTTGAGATTTTAATTGATATGGAATTGATAGAATCTTGAGATTTTTCCGGGAACGGAACGTTGCGGTTGTGGGTTGAATCATGCTTGTGAGGTTGAATGTGAGTAATAGGAATTCCCCATGTAGTATATAAGTTGTGAGTTGTTAATGTTGTGGGTTGAATGAAGATTGTGGGTAGGGGTGCTAATTGAGCAAGGCAACTCGTGAGCAGCTCGAACTCGACTCGTCAACCATTAGTCAAAACTCGACTCGAGTTTGCTCGAATCAGCTCGACTCGATAAGTGTACAAGAAATTCAATATTTTTCTATTCTTCTATCGTTAAAAACAAAAATTTACTTTGACACTTAATAAATTTAAAATAATAAACTTAAGTAGGAAAAATTTATATAAAAAGAATAAAATATAATCAACAAATATTTGAAATTCAAGAGACCTAAACCTTTAAACGAGCAACTTGTGATCAACTCGGCTCGACTCAAAAATTAGCGAGCATGAGTTGAGCTGCTCGTAATCGACTCGCTTGATTAGCACCCCTAATTGTGGGTTTAATAAGTTTCTGAGGCAAATGAGAATGAAGTTTTGAGAGTTGTTAAAGTGTTGTCAATTTCTAAATGTCAATTTATGAGGCACAAACAATGAGTTTTTAGTTTGTAAAACTAATCATACAAATGAAAAAACTATTTAGACTAATCCCAAAATCACCCTAACTAAATTTTTTGATCAAAACCAGCATTTGTTATGTTATTTTCATTTTTCAGCTTCACCTATACTTGAGCTTAGTTAGTGTAAATAGAAGTCCACTTATTCGAAAAATGGGCTTAAGGGTGGAATTTGGATAATTTATTTATGATATTTATACTCCTAACAAGGTAAGCATGGGCGGCTATGTGGAAATCTAGTAAAACGCTAGAAGTTGAATTATTAATCTTTTCAGGCATATTATGTTGTTGCTATGTCCACATATGGAAGGCCATCTTCTGAAATCTTGTCTTGCTGCATTTTCTCGGGTATAATGATTCATGTCTTGGACTAAATTGCTGGCATTGGCAATCCCCTTGATAGCCATTTTGGAGGGTGCCCTTTGCAGTGATTCACAAAGAAGTGTCACACTAGTACTGACAATTGATATTATTATATTCTCTTAGAGGGAAAAGTCCGTTCACTTCGGGGGGGGGGGTTATTTGTAATTCTTTTCACCTTAAGGTGTTCTTAGAACTCACATTTGGTTTTGGAAAATATGAAAGTGGCCTTCAGTCTTTTGTTTCAATGTCCATATACAAGAGTTTTTGTATATCTGACAATAACCTTAACAAAGTTTTTATGGTGAACTTAAAAATTTTCGACATTCTAAAAGTTAAATCTTCAGCTGTTATGTCAAAGGGCACTGATATTTGGTGGCTTCTATGTCTCAAATCCTTTATCTGCTATTCCTTTCAAAGTTGTCTATTTATTCTAGGATGGTTATGTGTTTCTTCCTTTCATGTAATGAAGAACTTAGGAACATACATTTATGATTATGATGTGCAATAGAAGAAAGTAGGAACTTTATGTTTTGATGAAAATGTCCTTTATGCTTGAAGTTCTGGTCTCAGCCTTTAAATTTTAGACATGGATGTACTGAACTTAGGAAGTTGCACACATAATTTTCTGACATTTCACTCTGAACCGATGTTGGGTTATGCTAGGATTCAGTGCAGTTGAATCCACCACTGTGATGTATGTCATCGCAGTCCAGATAAGCTCATGCTGAACATTTCTGAAAGTTTAGGGACTGCACCTTTCTGTTGCTCGTTATCATTATCTGTCTTCTAGTATCCAAGAGTGTATCCAAGAGTTTTTGCAGGTATAGGAGCTTGCATAGTTGTACTGTGAAGATGTTTTTCTTTGACCTGCAGAATACTGTGCTAAGCCTCTTGGACGCCTTTGATAAAGGAAAGACAGAAGGATTCTCCCATGTCTAGCAGAGAGGAAAAAGGCATAAAATTAGGGTTATATAGTTTGCTCAGCTCTGAGTTGCTTGTCGTTTGATGACCTTTTTGGGCGGTTTGGTGGGTGAATTTTGCTCAGGGATGGTTGTGGTGATAGGACCGGCCTACCAGTAAAGAGAAATAATGCCTGTCTTGTGGTAAGTGTTACCTATACCTCTTTCGGCTGTCTCTTATCAAGCATCACATACCACTTTTAGTAAGCTTTTCCTCTACCCTTTCTTTAATATTGGGTCCCACACCCATCCAACCCCTTTTTCTCTCTGGACCATTTCACTCCCGCAGCACTTGATAAGGACTGAAGCATTTACAAAGGTTATTACTTGTTAGCAACCACTTCAGCCACACCAGTATGTCACCCCCAAACTAGACCCGATCCTCGAAAGAAATTTTGTTAAGCCTAACTAGCAAATGAATGGAGACATGTTGTCATTTCACTTTAGATTAGTATAAGTAGTAACTTGATAATCCTATTGAGCTACAGGTCAGCTCCCAGGTATGTCCGAGGATGTAGCATGTAGCACAATTTTGCTGACTTGGTTGAATGTGACCTTAATTAAGGGGCTCTTGATGTTTATATCTGTAATCTTTAGCCCTTGTACCGGCTTCATACCGTTGATTCTTTATTTTTTTCTCACCTCACATGTACAGGCAATTGTTACTTTCTTTTTTGAGGAAAACAGACAATTGTTACTTAAAAGTTGCACGTCTGCTCCCGGTTTTTCTATGCGTAACTTAGAAGGGCTAAACAGATTACGAACTCAAAATATTATGAAACCAGCTTTATCATGTTGCTGATGTTTGCAAAAAAAAAAAAAACAAAAAAAAAAATCATGTTGCTGATGTTCTGTTTCTGACGAATACTGCCCCCCCCCCCTTTTTTTTCTCTCTCTTTTTTTTTTTTTTTTTTTTGTTTTTTTTTTGCTTTGTGCCTTTTCAATTTTTCATCTTTAAATGTTTCCTCCTTTGGTTCATTGGTTGCTTCATTAAATATCTGGAATTTTTCCTGTGTGTTTGTGGAGCTTATATTGTAAGAGGTACTGGTACATAAGGAACTAGTTAGACTTTTTAGGGGAATTAGCTGTGAGCTTATGAGTCATGAACATGAGGGGAGAGTAGAGGGAAGATATCTGCTGGCTGTTTAATACTTTAATGTCATCTTTGAGCTCTAGCTTTTACACGATTTGGACTTGTTTCAATTTGCATATGCCATCTGCAACATGAGAGTAGCGTAGCCCTCTTCTTTAAAGAGGAATATGATCTTTATAAGTAGATCTTGTATCTTTCATGCTCGTTGGCGCCATTCATAGTTTGTTTACATTGGTTATAATAAGCACAATGAAGCTAATTCAAGGAGGCAACCTAAATCAAAAGGAGAGTTTTGCTAATAGCAAGTTGCTATATAGTCATAAAGATATTTGGTTTATTGGTTACAATCTGTACAAATGTTATCTCCGAAATTTCTCCTTGCCTAGCTATTAGATCTCTAAGCATAGCGTACTCCTCCACCTTAAGCATTGAAAAAGAAGAACAAAACATCCAGTTACCAATCTCTTTTTCGTATAGGCTGTAGCCACAAAGTCCATCCGAAGGTAGCTAATTTCAATCCCTATTTGCTGTTCTTCCATGAGCATTCTCCTAAGTCCACATCGCCTTCTAGATAAACTATTAAAGGTTCATGTGTAGGATGGCCTGTACGCAAAAATATGTCTGCAAAGATTTGAGGACATGGTATTGCTTTGGAAGAGCTGTGAGACTAAGTTAATAACCTATTTTGGATTAGTGGTCACGTCCATAAGCAAAGACAGTAGCAGCTGAATTTCCCCTTGGTAATCTTGGGCACCATGAAAACTGAAAGAAACATTGCTACATGATATAGCTTGGATACTAATGATAAAGATTGGGTCTTAGGCACAGTGCCAAGTTTTCCCAAGATGCCATGTTTTTTTTTTCTAAGCTTAGCCTGAGAACTTGTCATGATTGACAATCTCAACTGAATACCTCAAACCTCATGTAATCTTTAGATGGGCTCGTCAATATTTACATGCGCAGATGTATTAGCTTTAATGTAAAAGAATAAATTTTCAACAAAGACAAGATGTAATATAGGGAAAGAGAATCACTATGGCAAATACAGGTGCAAAATTGTCAAAATAATACGACATTTCAGCGGTCCGCTAAAAATAAGTCAATCTTTTGATTATTTCTGAATAATACAACCTTTGGGGGTTATCCGCTAATAACAAGTATAACCGGTTAGTGACCTATTTAACAAGTTATACTGGACACGTGTCATTATCTTATTCGTTAGAAATTTAATTTGTTTTTTTTTTTAATTTTTAAATGATTATTATATTTTTTTTTCAAAAAGCTCCACCCAAACCTCCACCAGCGACCAACCACCACCATCGCCGCCAGACTCCTTCCCAGCTCCTCGGCGCCGGTCGTGCCTAGATCTCCCTCCTCGGCGCCGACCCCCTCCCCTTGTGCGTCGCTCCTTTCTCTCTTCCCGACGAACCAAAAACCCCCCTCCTCGAAACCCTCCCTGCCTTGCAAAACCACCTAAAACCCATCCCCTACCCTCGAAAAGCCCTAATCGGACCTCCCCAGCCACCGCTAGGGGTTCAGTTAGGGTATTTCGAGGGTGAAGGATGGGTTTTTGGTGGTTTTGCGGGGGAGGGAGGGTTTTGGGGAAGGGGTTTCGGTGGTTCAGGCCATCGTCGGGGAAGAGGGAAGGGGTGCGCGCAGGGGAAGGGGGTTGGTGCTGACGCCAGCGTCGGGGGCTGGGAGTAGGCTGGCCTCGATGGTGTAGTGGCTGGTGGCTAGAGGAGTTGTTTTTTTTTTTTTTTTTTTTAAAGAATTTTTTTTTAAATATATTAATTGTTAATAAATCATAATTAAGGTTTTTATTACGAGTTAATTACGTTGTTAAATTCATTTATTAAAAGAAAAAAAATTTAGCCGGTTATTCAGGTTGTAGGTAAATTAACTTGTTT